TGACGTATGCAGCCTTCGAATGCGACCTTCGGAGGGCGCAGCCTTCTAAATGAGACACAGCTATGGTCAGAGTTACGGTAACCATAGAAACATAAGGACACGGGGGTTTGGACACCATGTGCTCAGTCACTTCTGAATGCTACTACAGTATATCCATATTATGCCATTTCACTCATCAAGCAGAGCCAACAATAATTCGGCTGCTTTTTCCAGATCCAAAATCAATCACAATAGTGCAAACACTGACTTAAAGAAAAAAAAAAACTACAATATTATGTACCATTATACACAACCATTCAAAAGTTTGTGGTCAGTAAGATTTTATATTTGAATGTATCACTGTTTCCACAAAAATATGAAGAAGCACAACTCAGCATTAGAGTGATTTTTGAAGGATCGTGTGGCTGAAGACTGGAGTAATGATGCTGAAAATTCAGCTTTGCATCACAGGAATAAAATACAATTAAAAATAATAATATATAAGTTATAATAATAATAATAATATTTAACAATATTACTGTTATACTGTATTTTTTTTAATCAAATAAATGCAGCTTGGTGAGCATAAGAGACTTATTTTAAAAACATCTTACCAGCTCCAAACTTTTGACTTTTGAATGGTTGTACTTTTATAAGCAGGATGAATCATTGCAAATAATGTAATTGAGTCAAAAACGTCAGTCTACATTTGTCTTGACAATTAAAGGGATAGAGCACCCAAAAATGCAAATTGTGCCATTAACTCACCATTATGTTGTTCCAAACATTTATGTATTACTTTGTTATACAGAACTCAAAGATGTTTTAAAGAACAAAATTGGACCCATTGACTTTAATTGTATTGAAAAAGACAAAACCTTCTTTTGTGTTCCTCAGAAGAAAATAATTCATACTGGTTTGGAACAACATTTAGGGTGAGCAAATGAGGACAGAATTTTCTCTCTTTAATGGTTTTTAGTTGTGAAAACTGAGCTTTGCACTCTATTGGCCTACAACATGACACATGATTGTACTCCAGGTAATGGCTGATTTTTATTCTCTAGGGTAATGGGGCCCTTTATTGTCATGCTGGGGAAGATTGCAGGAGACGTGCTGCGTTTCCTTTTTCTCTATATAGAGATCTACGTTCCATATGCCTGTGCTTTCTGGATCATATTTGGAGGTACATCACAAATACTTATAGTATATAACTTTATATGTAAAGCTGCATGATATATAAATGTTGTGCTTACTGGTCTCAGGTTTAGCTGAGGTGCCAAGTATGAAGACGGTTCCTGAGCTGCTGTACAGCCTGTACCGTATCACCCTGGTGGATGAGTATGAGTTTGATGCCATGCTGGATGTGGACGCAGTGATGGCCTACCTGCTCTGTGGAACATTTCTAGCCCTCTCTGCTATTCTCTGTGTTAATTTACTGATTGCTCTGCTTTCTGACACTTTCCAAAGGTATTAATTAGCCATATACACTTTTATGATATGTTTATTAGGGGTGTAACAATACATTGACATGGATTGATGCATCGATCAAATGACTGATGACATGATGTATTAATGCAATGCGTAAAAAAAAAAATATATATATATATATATATTTATATACACACACACACACACACACATATATATATATATGTATGTATGTATATATGTATATATATATGCTGGAACACACATGCTGGAGATTTACTACTAATCACAGAACCGGCTTTACTGATGAGATGCGCATGAAAATCGCATTTGATTATTTGCACAGCCCTAAGTGCAGTACATCATGGGATAGCATATATACATTCTGTGTACATTATACATACAAACACACACTCACTGAGTCTTGCTGGTCTTTCTGGAAATGCGGGCTGTCTGTCTCCATGCTGTCCTCCTGAACATCACCTCTCTGTATCGTGTGACGTGTGCTGTCAATCAACGCCAGGGCCTCGTCCTGAACCATCTCACACACACACAACAGCAGCTGGGGAAGCTGGGTAATCTCTCCTCCTGAACCAGTAAATGTTAAACAATTGTTAAAACAGAACAAACAATATGCACACAGTTGGTGTAATGTGTTATCCCCAAACAAACATGCAGACTGACCGTTGAGTCCTTGTATCTGCAGGGCTAAGATGTGAGCTGACAGGAGTTTGGCTTTGGTTCGGTCCGTGAGCTGTTGTTCAGCATGTAGAACGCTTTCCATCATCAGAGACAGGGGCGGCAGTAGAGCTGGGGCAGACACCAACACACTGACACAAACCACATCAGCAATATTATTTAACATGCTCTTTTGAAGAGTTTTGAATATTATATAGACACTACTAACATTCAGAACACCTATATATATATATATATATATATATATACACACACACACACACATACATATATATATTGTCCATTGTCAATAGCGTGGCAATGTATGCAGCACAGCTCACATAAAATTCACTTTCAAACCTAGCATCTCTCTAGAATTCGCCTGACCAACTTGAACATGAGAGAAATATGCACAGGCAACTTTTTTCTTGCCCTCATGCGAAATTCAGAATGCATGGATTCCTACTGAAATGCTTGAATTTCGCCTGCTAAATTTTTCCAAGCAACGGTAAATGTGACCACACCTTAAAGGGATAGTTCACCCAAAAATTTAAATTTTGTCATCATTTACTCACCCTCCACTTTGTTTCTAAACCTGTATGCATTTCTTTCTTCTGTTAGATATTTTCTTCTGACGATATTTTGAAGAATGTTGGTAAACAAATAGTTGACGGTAGCCATTGACTAAGTATAGTATTTTTTTTTTCTTACTATGGAAGTCAGTGGTTAACGTCAACTGTTTGAGTGAACTATCCCTTTAAGAGTATTGATGCATCATAATCACCTTTTTGGTTATGCTACTGTAGATGTGTTTACTGTGAATTCTCGTTGTATTGAAAACACCTAGAATTGTTTGCGTTTGCAGGGTCTATGACAACGCGTTGGCCAATGCGGTGATGCAACAAGCTGCTATCATTCTGCAAATAGAGGAATCCATGCCTTGCCTGAGACGTTGCTATGACAACGAGTACATCCACCAGCATTGTGCCCCGCTTGGAGAATTCTATGATGATGACGTCACCACTAACCCAGAACAACATGCTGAGATGAAGAAGCTCACAGAACAGATCAAGGTGTCTACATCAACAACTACTGTATGCTGTATTTTTCACATGTCCTTTCTGAAATCTCAGAATAACTGAAACTTTGCAAGTTCCGCAGGATACTTTAGATAAATATCTGAACATCCAAAGAGAGACACTCTCACCGCAGTTAGCCTATGCAGGTGCCAGAGAAGATACCACAAGGTTGGTTGATAAACATCTAGCAACTTCTTGATATTAGATCGTTACAGTTTTCATGCTATAATGCATTTGGACGTGATTTTCCTGGAAAGGCTGCTTATTATTATTTTTTATTTTTTTTACAAAAGGAGAAGTGCTGCACTTCCAGAGAAAGAAGAACATCTCAAGACTCTTCACAGACTTAAGAAAGACCAGCAGAAGCACAGTCAGGACCTGAGTGAGCTGAAGGCTGAAGTGAAGGAACTCCACAGTTTGCTGCTCAGTCTGATACAGTCCAAGACATGTAAGAGACCTCTGCACTTATAATGAACATCTGTGAAAGTATGCACAAACATGCATGGGATCATTGTAAGCCTCGTTTTTATTGAGGCGGTCATTGACATTCAAATATTTGTCTATGGTAAATAATGTTAACCATATGCTATAACCTGGAATATCCCTTTAAGCGATTTGACTGGTGTTTCTGCAGCTACTGATGATGACAAGAAACCCTCAGTGACAAAGCAACCTACAGCGGACAGTAAAACCTCTGAAATTAATTAATGATTTGCGGAAATCAACATTTATTTCCACTCGGAGCAAGACTTGGAAAGGACTTATGCAGCAAGTCATGATTATGTAACCTACCTTTGTTGTTCCTTAAGTTATGCCATTGTACCAATATAGATTTGCATCTGTGTATATTAAAGTGACTTTATTTTAATTATTAAGATTTTAATTATACAATGTGAAACAAGACTAGTCTCTTTATCTGAACCCCAGAAAACCTCAAAGAAATAGTTTCCACACATTTTTTATTTATTTTTTAATTTTTTTTATTTTTCTCACACTCAAAACTCATATGCTGTCAATGCACACTATACTGGTCAAGTTTGGAATCATTACGTTGTTGAGCATCACATCAGATTGGAATGATTTCTGAAGGATCTTCAGAATTGTGATTTGCTGTGCACTTCTCGGTCACCGTAATCATGTGACAACTGAAGACTGGAGCAATGATGCTGAAAATTCAGCTTTGATCACAGGAATAAATTAAATTTTAAAATATATTCCGATAGAAAACAGTTATTTTCAATTTTAATAATAATTCACAGTATTGTTGTTTTACTGTAGTCTTGATCAAATAAAAGCAGCCTTGTTTAGCATGAGAGACTTCATCCGAAAACATGAATGATTTCACATTTCTGACCTGTAGGCCTAGTGTATATTTTGTGAAACAGAAAAGGAGTCATTACTTGTACGCTTGTATCTGTAGTATGATAGCTTTGTGTGAGGAACAGAAAGCTTATTAATTATTTATCAGGGAGTTATACTGATAATCTCCCTTCTCTGAAATCCCATTTGTGTTCGGATTCAAAAATGTGATGTCATGCCAGGCTTGACATCATTAATAGACCACTATGAAGTCTTTTGGGATGACAAATAGCTGCATGAACGATTCTTCAAAAATCCACTACCCTTTAAAGCCTTCACGTATATGACACCTTAAAATACTGCATATGTAGGGCGCTTCCTAGAGAAATAACAGCATATGAGGTTGGGAGGGACAGTTTAATTATTACGTGAGCAATTTCTTTAAAACACATGTGACAGGGCTACTATTGTAGTTCGTCACCAGGGCAACAGCAGGGATACTTTCCCATTAGTCAGCTGAAAAGTTTTCTAGCTCCTTGGCGGAAGTAGGACGGAGCGGCTGATTTCCGCTTCCCTCGCTGCTGCTTCTGCTGGTCACTGAAGTAAAGATGGCGGCGGCCGAGACCGATCGTGAAGCACCGTCCGCTCTGTGTAGCGAATTCCTCCATTTCTCCGCAAAGGACACCGCTGCGGTAGGCGACAGTTGTATAACGACTTTCTAAAATGTCTCTACTGATGAACTATATGAGTTCGGTTGCGGAAGTCGGTGCGTTCGCGATGAATTTTGTGTTTTTTCTCGCTCCTGGTCTCGGGTTGTTTTGCTCTGTCGTCCTGCTAACGCGCTAACACCGTTAGCCTGTGAGGTTTTCACACCTCAAGCTCCAAAACACACACACTTGACACTCAATTTACACGAATATTTATTTAATATAGCTACAAGTAAAACATTCGTTCATTTCTCTAGTTGTGGGTTTAACTTGTGGCTTTGCTGATAAAGAAACTATCTGTCAAGAGTTGGATAAAAACAACATTGGCTGCTTTGTTCATCATCTTTACGTTATGTAGTTAATGGTATAATTAACAACAGCTCTTTTAACGATGTTTACATTGATCTAGGCAAGCAAATAATCAAGCTGAGCTTGTGAATTGGTGTAGTTCTTCTGCATTCCTGTAAATACATTAGTATTAACCGTGTTTTTTGGATTCTTTCTCTGCATAGCAGGTGCTGAAGAATGTTGTGGTAGCCCAGTTACATGATTTTCATTATTTCATTATTATCATATTTACATGCCACATCCATCTCAAAAACATAAGTAGGTTTGTTTTTACAGAGTAGCTCAGATGGTGGTTATATTAAACCACATGCAAGACCTCACTTTGCTGCGGTTTGTATCGTCTGATAGACCGAAAGACAGCACTGCACGCTATCCTGGGTATTTTTGACTGTATATTAGACACCATGTGCATGAAAAACACAAGTTACTTTACGCTATAGGTCTGTGTTAATAAAACTACAATCTGATCTTCAATCTCAAATCAACTCTTGCATGGTGAATTGTATGAAAACAGATGCTGGATTGTTTGGCTGTGTGCTCTAGCACTAAATCCAGGTTAGTAGGTCGATGTAGACAGTCGCAAAGACTGCCAAGTTTTGCTTACTGTGCGCACACATAATCCCTGTGTTTCCTTATAGCATGTGATCGTGGCACATACATGCTGTTGGATCAGCTAGGTTGTTACAGTAGCTCCTTCAGGAAAAAAAATGCTGTCAGAATCACACATAGTTACAAAACCTAGTGAGCTTCCTATGATTATCTTTTAAGGTTGCGTCTTGGAGAAAAGAAAAGTTTCAATCTGTCTGCCATCCTGCAGGAATGATTGTGCGAGTGCATTCTGGGATTCCATTCCATTTCATTCTTTTTTAAAAAAAATTTTTTTATGTGCCGTAAATGCCATGTTTCCTAGTCTGTTATTAAATAATTAACGGCTTTTAGAACTAAAGTTTGTGTTTTTTTTCTCAGAAGTTTGCAGTGTTTTTTTATTTTTTTTAAAAGCATCTCTGTCTTATGCTCACCAAGGCTGCATTTGGTCAAAAATACAATAAAAACAGCAATATTATTACAATTATAAAAATTTAAAAGCTATTAGTCTAGTCTTCAATTTCACATGATACTTAGGAAATCATTGTAATAATATGTTGATTTGATTGTTGACATTTCTTATTATTTTCAATGTTGATTGCTTAATAATTTTGTGGAAAGCACCTTACATTTATTTTTCAGGATTCTTTGATGAATAGACAGTTCAAAATAACTTTTTTGTAACATTTAAAAGCACTTATTCTAACTTTTGACCAATTTAATGCATTCTTGCTGAATAAATGTTACTTTAAATAGCCTAGTAGTTTATTATATATTCATACATATGAGATGCAAATCTAATGAATTCTATATTAAAGGGGTCATATGACGTTGCTAAAAAGAACATTATGTTGTGTATTTGGTGTAATGCAATGTGTTTATGCGGTTTAAGGTTAAAAAAACACATTATTTTCCACATAATGTACATTATTGTTGCTCCTCTATGCCCTGCCTTTCTGAAACGTGTCGATTTTTATAAAGCTTATCGTTCTGAAAAGCGAGGTGTGCTCTGATTGTGATTGGCTGAATACCTCAAGCGTGTGACGGAAATGTTTTAAATATGTAAACGTACTTACATGTTGTGAGTCAGAAGCGCCAGACTGTCCTTGCAATGTTGGAACTGCCCAACTTTATAGAAACAGCCTTTGTGCCACAGACGCATTGTAGGCTACTCTTCCAGGTTCAGGAAACAGTCCTCCATAAAATGCGCTGCACACATCTGAATATTTGGGTTGAACTGTTCTGGAACAGTGTTGTAAATACAACTTAACCACTGATTTCTAGTTGTGTCCTCTTTTGGAAGGCTTTCACAACGAAACACACAGCGTCACACACAGCCGGCTAGAGTGAGCGGAGGCCGCCGGGCTTGAGGCAACCACATGTGACGACCCCGGGCTGGACTCCGCTTCATCCACGGTGAAAGCCATTCTGGCGATCCGCAGCGCGAAGTTGATGTATTTCCTCAGCGACCAGCACGGATCAGCTCTAGGCATGACGAAGCGGATATCGTCCTCTTTTGGA